AGACTCAACATACCCCTCGGAGAGCAATGGAATGAACAGAAAGTGAAGAAATTTTTTTTAAGTCCTAATCATCCGGACGAAATTACCCATTAGTCCCTGTACGATGTCCTCTGATTTCTCACATTGAACTATTTGTCCAGATAAATTTACCCATTCATCCCTGGGCGATGTCCTCTGATTTCTCACTTTTAATTGTTCATCTAGATGAAATGTCCCATTCATCTTTGGATGATGTCCTTTGATTTCTCACTTTGAACTATTCGTCCAGACGAAATATCCCATTCGTCTCTAGATGATGTCCTCTGATTTCTCACTTTGAACTGTTCATCTAGATGAAATGTCCCATTCATCCCTGGATGATGTTCTCGGATTTCTAAAATTAACAGATAGTCCAGACGATTCTGTACATTCATCCCAGAACGATGTCCTTTGTTCCTTAACCTTGTGGACCGTCCTGTAGTTATTTGTCAGTGAAGTTTGAAAATAACTGTTCATACCGGATGAACTATGTTTGTATAAGATGATGATCGGGTACGAAGTAATTTCATACCAATGCACCTTGAGTTCATATGCAACAGTTTTTACACTGTTCGTACGTACGAATTACGATAGTACGGGACGATCAAGTATGAACATATTTGAAAAATTGCAGTTTTTTTGGATGGTTTTTCATGTCTTTCATATAAAAGGTCCACTTAAAACTGGCTTGTAATCTTTTTGTTCACTGGTCTTCATGCAAACTGAAGAGAGATTGAAGGAGAGAGTGTGAGAGAGTGTTTGAAGGAGATTTTTTACTACTGGAGCATGAAGTGTTCACTTGGTACTCAAAGGTAAGAATCTTTATTTGTGAATTATGATTACTTCACTCTTTTCTCTTGTCCGTCCAAATTTCTTGTGAGAAGATCTTATCAAGGAGATCTGGTTCTCTGCCGACACTCAAAAAGTGTAAACAGTAGGAAGGTTCTCTTCCTACACTTCAGAAGTGCGAAAGGAAAAAGGGTTCTCTTCCTACACTTGGAGAAGTGTGAAAGGACAAAGGGTTCTCTGCCTACACTTAGAGAGTGTGAACAGTGGGAAGATTCTCTGCCTGCACTTAGAGAGTGTGAACAACTAGAGGTACTCTTCCTACACTTGGAGGGTGTAAAAGGATGACTGTTCTCTGCCACACTGGGTAGTGGTTGAAGTGAGTTTTTGTAAAGGCTTCTTTGCCTTGTTGTGGGGGCAAAAGGAGAGACACTAAGTGGTAATAGTGCAATACCTGAAGTAGAAGACTTTAGGGAGTGGATGTAGGTCGTGTTTAACCGAACCACTATAAATCTTGTCTTTTTATTTTTCCACTACCTTTTTTTCTACATTACTATTTATGTGTGATTTGTGTTTGAAAAATCCTTTTTTAAAATTTATCATAAGTATTTTATCAGTTTAAAATTATAAAAGGGTGATAAAATTTTTAAATTACCAATTCACCCCGCTCTTAGTTAGCCGCTGAGACGTAAGCATAGGTCTAACAATCTAATTCATATTTAACAAGTTTCAACAAACCTTTCTTTTTTATTATCATATTACCTCTATTCAGAATAGCTTTTATCATTGAATTCCAATTTTTTGAGCTTTGGTGGTAGATTAACTCTTGTTAAAAGTGTTCTTTGTTCCTTGCCAGTTTATATTTTTCAAACTATTCTTCCAACTCAAGGGGTTCATAAAAGAGTTCATAAACATATCAATAAATTTTTTTGGAAAGTTAATTTTAGTAACTCCAAAGTTATCTGGGCCACTTGGGGTAAATGTTGTGGTGTTTTGGCTGACGGAAGTTTAGATAATAAAATTATGAATGACTTAGCTTATGTCTTTTCTTTTAAATTAAGGTATAATTTTCATGCTAAAGAGAGCCTTTGGGTTAATTTTATGTTTGCTAAGTACTTTGTTGGTAAGCACCCTAAAACTTGTCATTTTAATCAAGGTGATTCTAAAGTGTGGCAGAGACTTTGCAAGGTTAAATAGGTGTTGAGCCCTTCATTTCTTGGGGGCTTGGTGATGGTAATATTTTCTTTTGGCAAGATCGTTGGTTAGGTAAACAGTCTATTAACTCTATTATGAATTCTTCTTCCATTGCAGCTATTAAGGTTAATTCCTTCCATACTGATAATTGTTGGGACTATGAGAAACTTTCTAATGTTATCCCTAACTTTATTATTCATCAAATTCTGAATCACCCTATCAATACTTCTTCTAATGATATTATCATATATTATTTGTCTAAAGATTATGGTTTTGATTTAAAGAATTCTTGGCATGCCTTTAGATCTAGCTAGAATATTGAGAATATTTTTTCTATGATTTGGCATAAAAGTAAACCTTCCACTGTGACTATTTTTGTTTGGAGAATATTGCATAAATTTATTCCCATAAATGATAATCTCATCAATAGAGGTTTTATTTTGTCTTCCAAGTGCCAATGTTGTTACCATATAGAGAATATGCAACATGTTTTTTATTTTTGGCCCTATTGCTACTAAAACTTGGGTTTATTTTGATGACATGTTTTAATTGAATTATTTTAATCCTCATTTATCCCTGAATTGTATGATTAATGCTTGGTTCATTAAGTCTAAAGGGCACATCAAAAACATTATTCCTTCTCTCGTTTTATTGTATTTATGGTTGGAAAGGAATAATTATCTCTTTAATGGTGTTCGTATGAATCATCTTAAGGTTATCAAAAATGTTAAAGATAAGGTTTTGGCTCTTATCTCTGTTAAACATATCTCTTTCAAGAATTTTAAAAATTATGTACTTTTTGGTCCTGGTTTAGGTCTTAAATGGGAGGGGAGCCATATTGATGAAGACTTTATAATTATTTACTTGATCAAACCCCCCATAAATTTCTATAAGTTGAATGTGGATGGTGCTAGCATTTATTCTTCTTGTGGCTATGGTGGGGCTATCATAGATAGTAATGGTAGTCTTATTATGG